ATAGAAGTCTGAGGTAGTGAACAATTTTCAGAGTGGCAAATTAATATTATTCATGAATTATTTTAAGCTAGTTAATATAAGCATAGTATGATTTATTTTTAAGTGAATAACAAATACTATTATTCCTTAAAATAACCCATATAAAGTAGAAAAGCAAGAACACATCTTTCAAATTTATTAAATGTTTTCTCCAGGAATCTCATGGTGCCTTTAAACTATCAAACTATTACTCTAGAAAGCCAGATGGTGTTTTAAATAACTCGACCCTCTTCCCTTTTCCATAATATGAAATGACCATAATTGTGAAGAAAATAAGGTAACCACTAAAAATTGAACACGATGCCTCCAGCATTAGTGACGCAACATGGTTGTAAATCATACTGTCTAGCTATTTCTAAGAATCTGTTAAATGAGGCCTGAAACATTAACCTGCAGTGCAGGACGTATTCTTTTTGCCACACACAACAGGGAGGACAAGTCAAACCAGGAAGTTGTTCAGGTCCCCAGGCCTGCCTGGCCTGTCCCACCTCTCGTCTTTCTGATTGGAAGAGACATTCCAGCCCCGAGGATGTCTGGGCAACTATTGGCTTGCTGTCCCATCATTCCTGTGTCATCTCGTTGCTCTTTAGAACAGGTAAACAAACAAGTATTGCTCAAGAGCGGCCGCAGGAGCTATTCTCAGAAAGGATTTAGTCAGGAGGATTTGAAGTTGACCCTCAGTAGGTTGCAGTGCTGAGGAGTGTCTTCGCTTGCTCCTCGGAAAGTGCTATTGGCAGCTGGGAGTGGCATTGTTTTTCAGCGCTCCCTCTCGCCATGAGGCTGTGTCTGATGGACAACTTCAGAAATCTGCAAGCGAGCGCTCGCAGGAAAGCCATCACAGATCACTCACGTAATCTAACATCATTTCTGAAATGAGCATGAGCAGCTGTTTCAGTGTTCCACAGGTGTTTTGGTTCGTTTAATTCTAAGCAAATTCTCAAGGATTGCTTTTTTTTCCTTTTTCTTCCTTTTTTTTTTTTTGCCCATATATGGGACTGTTAAGGGAGGCATCTCTTGAGAGTCTATGGGCCCTCTTGTTTGGCCTTTGAATATGTTTCTTTCTTTCCATTACCTTGCCTGTTTCTTCTGAGCATTGGGTAAGATGCCACTTTTCACATCTGGACTGTGAGAACCAGAATGGGTAAAGTTAACAGTTTACTCAGGTCCAAGAAATACTAGTTTCTGGGACTTCTGGGGAACCAACATAAAAATATCCTGCCCTATAATTTGCTTATCTCCTTAGATGTTATCAATTCTCCATAACAAAGAGTTCATTATTATAGTCCCATCTAGCATTAAAACAAATGATCTCTTTTATTGACCATATCCTCCTTAGTGTTCTTTGTATGGGATACATTATATATAAGGGACTATAAAAGTGTTCAGGACACACAAAGCTTTCAGGATTCACTGTGTAATAATTATCTGCTACCTGAGACCTTTCCCCTTGGGTCCCTTCCTGACAACAGGGGTTACCCACGCTCCCACAAGTATGTTTCTTTCTATTCTGGTTAGCACTAATTCAATCCTTCCACATCCTGGGGTGGGTTATTTTACACGGCATTCTGTTATTCCTGCCCTCAAGGATATACAGATATAGATAGGTCTTCCTAACTGCTGGATACTTGCATAATCCAAACTATAAACAGAATAGTTTAACCATTTTGGGAAGTCTGGGTGGCGGTTAAGCACCTGCCTTCAGCTCAGGTTGTGATCCTGATCCCAGGGTCCTGGGGTCAAGCCCTGAGTCCAGCTCCCTGCTTGCCTGGGGAGCCTGCTTCTCCCTCTCCCTCTGCCCCTCCCCCTACTTGTGCTCTCTCTCTCTCTCTCTCTCTCTCTCCCTCTCATGAATAAATAGAAACTTAAGAAAAGAATAGTTTAACCATTCTTCTGACAAAAATTTAACCAAATTATTTTGTACATGAATACAAGTCTAAGCTCCTCTGGGAGAAAATTGCCTACTGGGGGTAGACAGATTTAGAAACAAAACAAAACAAAACAAAAATGTAACAGGGGCAAGGATTGTACTTTAGAACCTATGGATCCATGCAGAACATAGCACATAGGCTAGTTGGGCATTCTGCAAAAATTTATCACATTAGTTCAGGCAGTTTTGCTTGCTGAAATACTTCCCAGCTTGGATTATAATGCTAATCCACCAGGCTTCTCTAAATCTGTTTGGTTCATGTTTCTCACTTTTTAGTCTTTTAGCCAGTTTTTTTTTTTCATTCAACATTGAGTCAGTAAACACTCATTGACTGCATGATGTGTGTTAGCATATCTGTCACATGACAAGAGATACATCTAGGGAGATTGGTACAAAGGCAGCAAGTGTTAATAAAACAATGTGATGGTGCTGTGAAAAGGGAAACATCCTTCCTTGGAGATGCTATTTGGGGACAAGGAGGAAGGGGTTGGCTCTTTAATGGCACAGAGTGAGGAGATGGGTCTTCCTGGCAGAGGAGACCACTTGAGCAAAATCAGAGATGCGACTAGGCTGATGGATGACCTTTGGATTATCAGGTGGCTCCTCTGGAGAGATGGCCAGGAGGCTACACTGGGCAATTATGTGTGATGTGATAAGGAGTCAGTGGGGCTATTAAATAACTTTAAATAGGTGAGTGCCACAATGAGTCTGATTTTGCTTAGGTGTTACTATCTGCAGGAGAGTTGTGAAACCAGCATGGAAGCTGGACTGAAAAGCTGGCTAGGGGCAGCGAGGTCAGTTAGCTGTTGTTTTCCAATTGTGTGGACCTAAGTGGGTCAAGATTTAATTTAGGACATACCGTTGTGTTAGAAGATTCGCTTCCCGCATTACCGGATTCCCTCTCTCCCGCCTTGAGACCTCCCTACAGAGGCGGTAGTGAATAGTGAAGAATTTGTGGGAACTGGCAGGGTCATTAAGCAGGGTCATTAATTTTCTATCTGATTAGCAAGATCACCCCTGCCCAGAAACACTGAGCCGGCCAGGGCATTCTAGGCTTCCCTTTAGACTCTGGGCAATTCCTCCAGCGCTTCAGGACTGTGTCCTAGAGCGGTTCCTGTAACCACGCCCACAGCCAGGGGCCTGACTCTCTGGAAACAACTAATAACTAGTTTCTTGTTGTTGTGAGTTATTTAAGGTAAGCCACGGTCACGAGGTGGCTTTACACAGTTCTCCAGTTGGGCCCCACCTTCTAGAACACACGTGCCCCGGGACACAGTAAACAAGGTAACGAGGGCAGAACCACAACACTAGTATGGACGAGGAGGTGGGAGCTGGTGTTTTGATCCGTCAGCTGGCATGCTTTTCCCTTTCATTGCAGTAAGGGTGGAACTGAGTGAATGTCAGATTTTAGATAAAAGAAAGGGGTCTGATATGCATACGTCAGGGTTCTATTTGGCTTCCGTGGTTCGGAATGCTAGAGAAGTTTGCATCGCTAACTTCTAGGCCCTAATGACGCCTTACGTGGTCCTGGGCGCCATCCTGGGGTAGTCCTTGGAGCAGTGGTGGTAGTATTGGGACATTCTCCGGAGGGGTGTTGGGGATTCTGGGGAGGGACTTTGGGGAGGGGGCTCCTTGGGACTGTTCTGGGAGGGAACCTCCAGGGGGTCCTCCGGGGCATTCTGGGGGGAACCCCCGGGGGGGGTCCTCTGGCCGTCCTGGGGGTGTGAAGGAGGGGAGTACTTCCTGTGGGACCCTCGGGCCGTCCTGGGGGGGCTCTCGGGGGACAACCTCCGGGGCTCCTCGGGCCGTCCTGGCAGCGGCGGGCACCCCGGCCGGCGTCCCACGGCGCGGCGACCTCGGTTAGCGCAGTGGGGAGGGCGTCAGTCCATACTCCGGAGGGGGAGAATTGGTCCCTTGCGCACGTCCACGGTCGGGAAGGGGCTGCCGTCGTGCGATTTTAAGCAGCATTCTTTTCCCGTGCTCCGTCCAGGCGCGGGACCCCGGGCCTGAGACCCGAAGGCGTCAGGTGGTGGCTGGGCCGCGGGAAGCCCATGGGCTCACCCCGCGGCGGGCCGGTTCCTGGTCCCTCGTGGTGGGCGGGGCCGAGCGGCGCGGGGGCGTGGCCTGAGGCGACCGGGCGGGCCCGGCGCTCCCTGCCCGGCTCCCGGGGGCGGGGCTCGGCTCTCCGGCGGCGCGTGCGCATGGGCGGCGGCGGCGCGGCGGCCGTCCCTCGCGCCGGCATGGCGGTGTGCGCTCGGCTCTGCGGTGTGGGCCCGTCGCGGGGATGCCGGCGCCGCCAGCAGCGCCGGGGCCCGGCCGAGACTGCGGCGGCCGACAGCGAGCCGGACACGGACCCGGAGGAGGAGCGCATCGAGGCGGGCGCGGCGGCTCTGTCCGGGGCGCTGGGCGGCCGGGGCGCGGGCCCCCAGTCGCCCCCGCGCTGCTCGCTGCTGGAGCTGCCGCCGGAGCTCCTGGTGGAAATCTTCGCCTCGCTCCCCGGCACCGACCTGCCCAGCCTGGCCCAGGTCTGCACCAAGTTCCGGCGCATCCTGCACACCGACACCATCTGGAGGCGGCGCTGCCGGGAGGGTGAGCGCGCAGGGGCGGGGGTCCGGGCGGGCGGGGGTGCCCCAGGGCTCCGGACGGGGCCCGGCCTCAGATCGGGGGCCTCAGGGGGACGGTCCCGGCCGGGCGGGCGGCGGTGATTCCGGGGGCCTCTCCCACAAGTCCGGGGCGCGGGGTCTGGGAGAGCTGGCGTCCCGGCTGCGCGGCGGAGTCGCGCGCTCTACCAGCTCTGGGGGAGCTCTGAGAGGGGTGGGGGTTCCCCAGCCGCGGAGACTGGGCTGTGACTGCCCTGGGGCTGGGGCTGGGTTGAGGCCGCGGAGTGAGCTGACGCATGTGGGCATCCTCGTCTGTCCCCAGGCTTCGGGAGGCGGAGGTGAGAAGAGCGGAATGGTTAGGGAAGTGGAATGGTTAGGGAGCCCAGGATTGTGGAGGGTCTCCTGAGGGGCGGGTCTGTGGAAGGGCAGGTGGAGCCGGGCACTGCCGGAGAGGGTTGAGTTCCCTGTCAGGGATGCTGATGGCAGTAGTGAGGGTGGTGAATAGTTTTGTAACAAATCGCAGGAGGAAAGGTTTACTTAATCCAGAGTTCGAGGCTCTCTACGTTTAAACGTTGATAGATCCCAGGTGTTCCATGAAGTCTCCTATTTTGGTAAAAAGAATAGCTGGGAAACAAATCCAAACAATGCAGAACAGCAGCAGGAGGAAAGTAAAAATCATCAGAGACCCCTGCAATCAAAGATAACCCACTCTTAAAATTTTGGAACACGTCTCCATATGCACATGTAGAGTCCTGTACACATTTTTACTTAAACGGGATCATACCATATATATTCTTCCCCAGACAGTTTAGTATGAAAAAGCTTTGTGGGATTCCACTGCATACATCTGCCACCAGACCAGTTAGGCCCTTACCGACTGACTTTTGAGTTTGCGGTTTTTTCTTGTCACCAACAATGCTGTCAAGGCTGCTTTTGTGCAGTTTTGTAGAAATTTGTGCTGTTTACTTGTGCTTTCTAGGACTTCTGAGATTATCTTCTAAGGGTGCACTTCCTCTCAGAGCAGGGTTGTTGGTAATAGGGTATGCACACTGAGGGTGTAGATGCCCATTGCCCAGCTGTTGGAAATTGCATCCCCAGAGAGGGTGCGTGAGAAGGCCTCTTTTCTCAGATGCTCCCCAAAAAGGGCATCAGTCATCTTATCTCTGCAGTGAAGCTCAGTGGTCAAGAGTCCGGAGTTTTAGTCAGCAGGCCAGGCTCAGTTTATGTGCTTTGAGATCTTGGACATGCTTCACCTTCCCAAGTATTTTGGGCAAGTGCTGCTCCTGTAGGGTCACTTTGGGGGTTAAATAAGATCATGCACATGAAGCTCTCACCCCCTAAATGGTAATGTTCTATTGTGAGGCTTTTTGGCCATTTTATTTCATCTCTTGTGATTCCTTATTTGTGCGTTTTTGTTTATGTCTCTTAAAGCATCTGTTTTTGTCTTACAAATTTGTGAGACCTCTTTGAATGTTAGCAGTATTAACCTTTTGTCATATATGTGGCAAGTGCATTTCTTTTGACATTTTAAAATAGAGATAAAGAAAGTTCCAGGTTCTCTGTGAACTCTACCTTTTCATTTGTTTTGTTTTGCTTTTTGTATACCTGTAAGACCCACATTCGTCACAGGTGTTCCATTGTGCTTTGAGAAGTTTCTCCATCGGTCAGCCGGACCTGTGTGGTGGTTTCTGGTGGGTTTGTCTCTGGGGAACTGGAACTCATCTAGTTCAACTGTAGAAACAGAGTAAGGACATTTATGTAATCAGAAAAACTCCATTTATGTAATAAAAAAAAACTCGAAGGTATGGTATGGATTAAAACTCACTGGGGTTAGAGTTCAGGGTGAATTCTTAAGAGTTGCTGCTGGAAGTGCAGGAAGCCCTGATGAAGATGTAGAAGGAAGTTGGGGACGGACGGACGCAGGACTGCAGTCCTTGCCTGCTGGGGCACTTCTCAGTTCCACTTTCCTGGGGCAAGAGACAATGTGACATTAGAAGCAAGGCATCTTGTCCACCAAGGCAGGCAGACATGATAGGAAAGAAGTTAAAAAAAAGAAAGACAAAAATGGTAAAGCAGGCATTTTCCTAGTCACCCCCAATAAATAACTGTTAATTCTTTTGTTATGTTTGCTTTTGATTCCTTTACCTTTTTAAATTTTTAATGTTTAGGTTTTTTATGTTTTTAAATATTTTATTTATATGAGAGAGAGAGAGCATGAGCAGGGGTAGAGGCACAGGGAGAAGCAGACAGCCACTGAGTGAGGAGCCTCATGTGGGGCTCCATCCCAGGACCCCAAGATCATGACCTGAGCCAAAGGCAGACGCTTAACTGACTGAGCCACCCGGGCACCCCTCTACCTTTTTTTAAGGAAAGCGTCTCAGCTGATACTCACTTCTGATCAGCACTGTCCTTCTTATTCTAAGAAGCAGCCTCTGTCGTGGGTTTAATTTACTTGTGTATACATATGCTCGTGTGTGTCCCCAAATAAAACATTTTGTGATGGTTTAATTTTTAGAAATATATCATACTGTAAGTCTTGTGCATCTGCTTTTTCCCCTTTTGAACTTGTGTTTTTAAGTTCTATCTGTGTGAATACATTTAAGTCTGGTTCAGTCTTTTTAAATGCTGTGTGGTGGTTCATAATTTGAAGAGACCATGCTTTGTTCCTTCTCTTATTTTTATTTATGTATTTGGTTATATACAGTGTACAGTGAACAATCTCCATGTCTGTTGAATGCAGATATAGAATACATGCAGAAGTAGTGCTGCTGGGGTGGGGTGCGGTGGGCCGTGAGCCCTGCAGTTTCACTCGGTACTGCCCAGTTACTACGGCCGTGAATTTTAGCTGCTTAACTTCCTGACACTAAAGCATGAGCAGGTAAGTCACAAAAGGTGACATGCAGATGTTCAGTGTGCACCGTCTCACCACAAAGCAGTTGTCATTTCTGGCCCGGCTGCTCCGAGTTACCCCATTTAATCCAGTATCTGCCAAATTCTCTCTACTCTGAATGATTCACCTTTAATTATTTTAATTTGCATGCGTTCGATAACTGGTGAGGATGCACACTTGGAAAATTACATTATTGGTGGTTTGGATTTTTCTTATTTGCTTATCCTTACCCCTTGCCAACTTTCTACCCTATTTTTTTTTTCTTACTGATTTGTGGATTTTATTTATTTAGTCTGGATAGATTTCTGTTTAATACATTTCAAGACATTTCTTTTTTTTTTTTAAGATTTTATTTATTTATTTGACAGAGAGAGACACAGCGAGAGAGGGAACACAAGCAGGGGGAGTGGGAGAGGGAGAAGCAGGCTTCCTGCAGAGCAGGGAGGCCGATGTGGGGCTCGATCCCAGAACCCTGGGATCATGACCTGAGCCAAAGGCAGATGCTTAATGACTGAGCCACCCAGGCGCCCAAGACATTTCTTTAATAGTCTATAGTGATATGCTATTTAACTTCATTTATAATGACTTTTGTGAAAGTTACAGTGTTAATTGAACCTAGGTATTTTGGGCTTAAGTAATGATTTTCATCTGAAGGTCAGGAAGATGGTCGCTAGGTCTTCAGTTTCACTAGTTCGTTCTGGTAGCTTTAATTTCTAGCTTATCTATGTCAAACATTGGATGGCTGGTAATCCCATATGGTGTTCATAGATGTCTCAGAGTTAGTCTCATTATATAGCTAAGAACAGTCAGGTATGGGATGGGTCTGATCTGAGTTCTCTTAGCTCCTAAAGTTCATCTTTCCTGAACTAGACATTTGGTTAAGGTGAGTGTTGATACTGCCAAAGCCCCAAGTCCATTTAGGTAAAAACCAAAGCCCTCCCAGCCTTGGTGGGCAGGAGGCCGGATCTCAGGCTGGTTGAGGAGGTGAGTTGTCTCAGCCCCTCAAGTGTCCTGGAATGGAACCTCTGGGTCTGGTCCAGCCCTGATGGTTGTAATGGTGGCTCCATTTTTTAGTGTCTTGGGAGGTTGAGTGAGACTAATAAGTGAATTTGCATGTTTGTATGTTTGCTTTCTGTCTGTTGATGATTGGATTTTCCAGAACAGAAAACAAGCCACAAAAATAGGAGTCGGAAAGAGAATAGCACACACCTGTGTTTTATTCCTTCAAAGAATTTGGGGCCATGATTGACTTTCAGGGGGCAGACAATGCATGTGTGCTTAAGAGCCCTTTCTAAAATGATAGGATGAGTTTGTGGGGGTGGGGGGTAGCGCTAGAAACTTAAAAACGAGGTAGCTATATTTATAATGTTTGGTGAGAAGCTCACAATTTCCAGTGTCCTAACAATAAATCGGTTATTTTTATAGAACTTTGGTCTTTCTAGCCTGCTGCATACTGGAGCTGTTGGGTTAAATATTTTCTAGTGGTATTTCTCTAGGCAGGTGGGAGAAGGTTGCTAGTGAGAAGCCAGGTCTGTGCTCCTGATTTTGGGGCAAGCACAAAACAGCTAGGTGATATTTATCCTTTTACAGGAAACAAACCGAACCAAGCCCAGCCCCCAGGGCAGGCGCAGGCCAGGGTGAGGGTAAACACTTTTTTTGATGCATCACTCCTTTGGCTGTGGGCCTCCTGCAGTTACTTGCATGTGGGGCTATAAATAAGTCATCATTTCTCAAGACTTCTGAGGGTAGAAGCCAAGTGCGTTATTTTGCCTTTGACCCTGACAAGGCTTTTCTTCGTTAATACTTAACCATTTACTCGGTGAATTTTTAAGTGTACATTCAGACTGTAGTTCTAAATCAAAATATTCAAATAATAACAAAAGACAAAATTAGAAACAAAGGAAATGCTCATACATGTATTTTCCCTTTCCACACTGAGCTTTAAATACTCAGACACAAAGATTTCATATTATTCAGCTCAGTACCTGTCGGTGTCTGGTTTTGAATTTATAATATATAATTTGCCCATTTCTTCCCTTGATGGTATTTTTTTTGACACATAGAATGATATTTGTATAATATTTTGATTTTTTTAAGTCTAAAACGGGTTTAAATTCCATCATAATTAGGAATAATCCTTTTCCAATAATGTATGATTTTTATGACAGAAATGGGGAATTAAAAACCAGTATTTAATTCTGTTTTTGCAAGCAGAAGAACATGCTGTGCAAAAAATGAGAAATGTGGCTTTTGTTAAATATGACTAAAATTGGAGGGTCGTCTTGGGAAGAGGTGAATTGGGCAAGTTGTTTGTTTTAAGGTTGGCTTCAGGGATTTTTATGATTCTGGTAAAGCAGATCCTTGCTGAGCCCACTGGTTTTGATGGTAGGATGGGCATGTTGGCAGGTAGATAGATAAACTGTTCAGGTGGTAACACGTCTTAACCACGAGAAGGGGAAACCAGCCCTCCTCCTGGACATGCAGCAGGATCTCAGAACTTGGAGGAAAACTGTATCTTTTTCTTCTGCTTTGCCACTTGAAGGGACTGCAGTTCTCTCTCTTTTTTCAAGTTGAATCTCCTGTGCTGCCTTATGGAGAAACCTTCCTTTCCCTCAGCAAAGCAGGAAAGGGAAAAGGGCAGTGGTGCCTCGTAGGGGAGCATTTTTCAGACTTCCCTTATTTCAACCTTAAAAAAGTAAGCTAGAAAGTGAACCTGGTACCCAGAGAGCATCGAGTAAAGATTTCCCCCTGGCCATATTTAATTGGACAGACAATGGTACCTCGCCAAAAAGAATTGATTGGTTGTTAGAGGACCAGGCACTGCCATTGGCACTGTTTTCCTGTGTTTATAAAGTGATTACGTAATGAACTTGAGGCTCTGGGTTTGTCTTTCTGGCTGGAAAGGGCATGCAAACACAAGGGTGTCTTTGCGTCTTTGCAGAGGAACAGGTCTCCTCTCGAAAACGAAGGCCCTTTCCCGAGATGGGCAGGGTTTGGAACACATGAGTCAGCATCCTTTGCCACCGATACCATCGCTGTCCACCCGGTGGCGATGGAGAGGCTGGTTAACCCGAGCCGGCCGGGCCTGCTGTGGGGTATTAGTGGAGGAGCCGGGAAGTGTCGGAAATACTAGACAACGTCCAGGGCGAGATGATGGCAGAGTCAGGCTCACAGGCTTCTGTCCTGGTCTCCTACATGGGCGGCGGGACAGTGGGACACTCAGGAAGGGTGGGCGTCTCAGGGTGACAGATGGGCCTTAGCGGGAATGGGTTTCCCTTGGCCAGCAAGTGCCTGTCATGGGAGCTGGACTGGGGTCAGAGTCCTCTTGCTGGAAGAGTGCACTTCTCACGGTGTCCATTGGCATGGAGACTGTTTCTGTTTCTCTTCACGTGGCCCGAATTTGTTGAGAACAAGTCACATTAATCTTGTAGGTGGTTTCAGCCATCCCGGGGAACTGTTAAGCCTCCCAAATAGTCCAGGTATTTAGTAGGAGACACCTGTGGGCTGTGTCCAGGTTCTGAGTTATACATTCTTCCATCCTAAGATGATAATGGCCGCCTCCATTCTTCCATCCTAAGATGAGGTAGCTGCAGAGTGTTTTTCCAGATTTGCTACATTATTTAAAAAAAAAAAAAGGCATTTCGTGCAGTCAGGAATAGCTAAGTAGAGCAGTGTGCTGGAGAAGCCCGGGAGTTTAAGTCAGTGCTCTGTTGTTGGAGGGCATTCTCGGGTTTTGGCACCCAGTGGCTGTGCCGGGAAGCCTGGGGACTGGTTGCCTGACCCCTCCATCCTGCCTGGTGGAGGACCCCTCCCCCACCCACCCCCACCCCTGCCTTTGGCTTCTTTTTTAGCCTCAGAAGTAAAAGTGTGAACCCTTTTTTTATTAAGGAGTATAATTATCCCCTAATTTAGTGCAAACAAAAAATCTTTCTGATCAAACTGCCTTTTAGTTTTATTTAGAGAACTGTGTGTGTGCACAACAGGTAGGAAAGAAGCCTCTGGCACGCTTCAGCCCTTCTTCTCTCTGGCTCCCTCCTGCTTGCCTGGTACCACGTCTGGGTCACACTCTCCTTTCCTCCTGCCTCTGACTTACCTAGTGGTACAGTGGCCTCCTTGGACCCCCCCACCTGCACTTCCAGGTACGTCTCTGCTGGCGCCCCCACAAGTTAATAGTCT